TATTTGCGAGGTAATTTTTACGTAGTAACTTTAGAAGCACGTGGGTCGATCGTTTTCAGTAATCGATCATAAAAAATATTTTGAAGATTTCATGCATGAAACGGGATCGAGAAAAGAAATTGTGTTGGATAATAATATAATTTAGACATTGTCACAAAAAAAAACGTCAATTCTTCTTTGACATCATGAATAAATAATTAAGCTATATTTTGTCTTATGTTATCTACAATTTTTCACTACTGACGAAATCTCTCAAAGTTTTAAACATACGTAATAGAACGATAAATAATCTATATCGACCCACGATACATTGAATAACGAAGATTTCCTTTCTTAACAACTTACAAGTAAATTGTAACAATGAAAGAGGTTTAAAAATTGTAATAATAAGTACAGGTAAACGTATTTGTACTAAATTCGGTGTATTGTTTACACAAACTGCTTCGACCTCCGTAAGTAATGCGTACAAAGCTTTAATAACAATGAGGAGCATTGAAAGGAGATAAGACTTACCCAGGTAGAATGCCAGGTATGTATCTCAATTTTACAAGTAAAGTTGATTGATGTATGAAATCTTTGTTAAATAAAAAAAGTTACCGTTTGGTCTATTTTTTACGGATTTTCTCAAAACGCAGATGCATCCAGGATTCTTAAATCCAAGTAAATAAATAGTTGTAATACAAGAAAGGTATTTACTCGTATATACATAGGAATAATTTTGGCTAACCCACATACTAGGATTTGGCGTATGAATTACGCACCACGAAATCCAAAATTGTTTGTTGAACTTAAATTAAAAACTTAATATGATTAATAAGTTTTGTTTTATGTTATAAAGTTTACACTTGCTTAAACCATACATTTCGAAGACTTCTAAGCTCACTTAGAAGTTAAGATATTTAAAACTTAGGAAAGATGTATTGTTACCCCATTTTGAATTACAATAAGACAAATTTTAGTTCATTTACACTTGGAGAAAAATGGAAACGATCTTTTTTTATCCTTCTTTGGCTTTGATGAGTAGTTAATCAAATTAAAAGATAACCTCACTTTCTCGTGGTTATTTACCTACTTTACGAATAAAGATTTTTTTTTTTAGTTTCAATAATTTTTGAGATTACCCTGAAAACATGTTTTTTTATGAGACCTGTAATAAAACCTAAAGATAATAAAATAACACATAGACTTAAAATACAGAATAATCATTTGTTTCAAGACGAAAATTTTGAAATGGCTACACTACTTTCAACTGTCAGTTATACGTCAAAATGGCACGTCAGCAACAAGATGTTGATGAGTTATTCGATGTTAAAAATGCTTTTTATATTGGAAATTATCAACAAGCTATAAACGAAGCGCAAAATGTGACCGTGAGTTTTATTTTAAATTTAAAAAATCAATGTTAACACTTCCTACTAAATGTAAAATATCAGAAGAAACTGCCATGACGTGTTTTCATGTTTTCACTAAAATTTGACAATTAAATGTTGATTTTTTACTGAAAGTAGACGGAAACTTAAAGAAAATAAAGTAAAAACAACAGTGAATTAATACAATACATTAATAAAATTAGATCACATCATAATATTGTTATTGCTCATCTCTAAGTAAACGGCTTCTGTCAAAACCGTTCCGCGATCGCCCTGCTCAACACACAATAATATTGCTCAATAATATGTCGAGTAAACTTTAGATTAATAGTCAAGGGTTCACATAGCCGCATACATTGATAACCTATTATATTTTCAGCCTTCAACACCTCTAGTTGCTCTCCAACGAGATGCATTCCTCTACCGGTCCTACATCGCTCAGGGCAACTTCCGCATCGTGATGCAGGAGCTGAAAACAGCAGACCCCATGCTGCAGCCGCTGAAGACACTTGTGGATTATCTCTCACCGGGAGCAAATAAGCCAGTTATTGTCGCTGATATTGATGCCAGGGTAAAAACACAGCTTTGAAAAACTACATACATCAGTATTTCAAACCCTCTGTGATCTCTATAATTGATTTAGCTTTATTTGTCCTACCTAGCCAATAAAAGTGGAATGAATTAAAATATCACACATTGATTGGTAGGAAAAAATAAGTAATTACTAGTTTGTTGTAAGGAATGTCTATAAAACTATAGTAGAAATTAAAAATATCTTTTTTAGTAAATATTTTAACTGAAGGTCTTTATTTCAGTTAACTGATTGCTGTTGAATATGTTAAAAGATAATTGTTAATATTATTTATTATTATTTCCAGGTGGCGAAGGGTACAGAACTTATAAATGATATATTCCTGCTGGTCGCTGCAACCATCTACTATCATGAGGATAATTATGAAGCAGCTTTAAAGTAAGACTCGCCTTTTTTTTATTTCAAAAGGTGGCAAGGCAAATGAGCGAGCGGCAACCTGAAATCGCTGAAATAGCAAAGTGACCGTTGCCCATAGACACACGCAATTGCATATCCATTGCCTACCTTTAATCGACGGAGGAGAGGATGCACAGAAAGAAAATATTTTCCCTTTCCATGCAACGCCTTTCGCCTTTAACATATTAAATTAAAACTGAAAAAAAAACTAATTTACAAAATATATGTATTTGTAACATGAGCCACTATTCCCATTGAAGGTATAAAATATGCAAATAAAGAAATCTCATATTGCATAGTCAAATCTGGATAAGTGAAAAATTCTATGAACGAGAGTCATTTTCCCAAGACAATATCAACAAGCTAGGAGAAAACACTCCATAAGCGAGAAAAATATGTTGCTATTTTATTACTTTTTGTTTTCATATGAAAATTTGTAACAAGCATAATTAGTACACAAGATAGTAAAGCCTATAAACGAAATAATTTTATAATCAACTAGCTCTCGCTTGGGACTCCGTCCGGGTGGATATAAAAAAAACTTAATATATAGATAAGTTAAATAAAAAGCAGCTCTTCAAGGCATAAATTCGAAATAAAAAGAATAGATAGTATCCTATGTCCGTCTCCTGGCTGTAAGCTACTTCCTCACCAATTTTCAACCATATTGGTAAAGCCGTTCTTAAGTTATAAATAGTGTAACTAACATAACTTTCTCTTATATGTAAAGGTGTTACTTTTAACTATTTCAGAATCTTACATGGATCTGAATCACTGGAACTGCGTTCGTTCACACTGCAGTGTTTGTTGGCTATGAACCGACCGGATCTGGCCAAGAAGCAGCTCAAGTTGTTAGAAGATGATGGTACACTAACACAGCTGGCACAAGCTTGGCTCAACTTGACACAGGTAAAGTATAGTGTGTTCTTCCGTTATTGATTGCAGCAAAATAAGTCATTTGAATTTTATTATTGTGCAATATTATATGCATAAATTCTTTGGGTAGTATTGCTTGTATCCCATTTATAAAACAGAACATAACTATAAATAACTTAATTAGTCGCCTATGTAATCTTCTAGACTAATTTCTACATCTATTTCAAGTTTCAGCGAAATTTCTTAAGGCATTCTCAGTATTTCTATTAACAAATATCCATCCATCTTATTAGTAAGATTAATATTCAGTGCCACATACATCCCAAAATGAGTTCACTTTTATAAAATGCTAGTGGTCTAGCGTTTTAGCCATTTTCGTACATCTGCATTTGTAAGGTTTGTTTTAGATGTTTTTGCCTAATTATACTCATTGTACTTTGAAAATATACAAATATTTATGCAGGGTCAGATGCTTTTGACTAATTATTCTGACTTTACTATATAAAAATAATATTGTATACAGGGTGGTCCGGGAGTGCAAGACGCACACTACAGTATCATGGAGCTGTCAGAGAAGCTGGGCGCGCTGGGCGCTGGGCCCGCTGCTGTGGGCGCCGCTGCTGCTGCTTCTAGAGGTTATTTATTTTGGGAACTTTCGAATTTTCATGTCATGTTTTCTATTGTTGATTTCAAATACCTTAAGTTACTTTTTTAATGTATAATGGTTAATTTTATTTTTGGTTTTGTAGTATGATTTGTTGTATGTATGTGTTTGTGTGTAGGTATGTGGGAGGAGGCGGAGCAGATGCTGCGTGAGGCGCAGGCGCGAAATCCTCACCAGCCGGAGCTGTTGCTGGGTCTAGCTATCACTGCTGCTCACAGTGGCAAACCCGCAGAGGTACATACAGAACACTTTTTTATATAAAGTGTAGATTTTTATGTTTTCTTTGTAATGCTTAAATTAAAATAAAAATTACAACATTGTGTAAAGTAAATATAAGAAAAATAACGACCAGACCAATGTGTCATCCAGAATTCATCGATCCTACTAATATGTAAATGTGATTGTTTGGATTTATGGATGGATGGATGTTTGTTATATAAAGATCCCCAGAACGACTTAACGGATCTCACTGAAATTTGGCATAGATGTAGAACATAGTCTGGAAGAACACATAGGCTACTTATTAAGTTTGTAATTCCGCAGAACTTTATAAACTTATTTAATTATTTCCTATATCAACAGGTATCATCTCGCTATCTGGCTCAGCTGCTGGACTCTCACCCTGACCATCCCTTCAGCAAGGATTACAATGCCAAGACCAATGAGTTCAAACGTCTCGCCGCACAGTACCAGCCCTCCGTCCCCACATAGATACAAGCCAAGTACTCGTCATATTACAAATGTGGTCAGACATGAGTTGATTTAAATTCCTTATTATTAAGAAATAACAATTAAATTTATTGTAATTACATATTTGTTTTAATTCAACATAATCACGCCTGTAACCCAAAGGGGTAGGCAAAGACCACGTATTGTTGGGCGTGGTCCTGAGACATATCTCGGTTTCGGATACTCTTAATAAATGTTTAATTATTGTATTATTTGAAAATAAAAATTTTCTATCCGTGTGTGTAGAAAACGGACAAGAAAAAAATATACTTTTAGTATTGTTCCTAGTAAGAATTTGTTTTTTTTTTCATTTTAAGTTTGCCCTAGCTGGTGGCGAATGACGGGAAAATTATGTAATAAATAAAACTTGATATCCTTTTAAGTTATGTAATCCTAGTAGAAGCTATAATCATAGTCGGTGTCTGCGTCATCATCTCCCGGGCTGGTGGTGTTCGCGAGGAGGTGGAACTGGCGCAGTTTGTCGTCCATCTCTGCCAGGGAGGAACGCGCCGCTATCCACTCTGTGGTTGACTCTGACTGCTGGATCGCGCCGTTCAGACCTGGATAGGAAACGTACTATCATCTCGGACATAAACTTTATATAGAAATCGCACGTGACGCTATAAAAAAATCATCTTTGGACCTGCAACATGTGATCAGCTAAGCCACCAAGTGCCAACTCTTATAGTACTTAGTTCCTAAATTGTGGTTACCGTTGGGCGAAATCTCGACGCGTTCATCAGTTTGGTGTACAGGTGGCGCTGTGTACGCCTCCAGCTCTTGCTCCGTCTCACTCTCCTGTTTCTCCTGCTTTCTCTGTCTGCGCCACGCCTTCTGCAGGTTGAAGCGCTCCGGACTAGGAAAATATATTTTGGTGTATCGTCAAGGTTATGTTTAGCAACGACCAATATTAATGATATCAGTAATCAACGATTATTTTCGTGTAATATAGAAATGCTCAACATTAACTCCAATCACGAGCGAAAGCAACTCGACTTTGATCGAATCGAACCACTAAGAATCCGAACTGCAAGAATTATGTTTAGGCTATTTTTACCCTACGTACGTAGGGCGTCAAAAATATTAAAGACTCATTTGAGTGTTCCCCTCCACGGAAATCTTTAGTAAAAGGCGAAAGATTTATACGTTTTGAAGGGAAACCAGAGTGACGACAATTTTTCTCCGTAGCGACTTCATGCAGATTTGAAACAAAAACATATCGCGATTAACATTCGTCACAGCGACATCTAGTGTCAACTTCATGATAAGAAAATATGTAGAGTTTTAAGCATTTTTTATAACATGAAAAGAACCAGCTATTTTTATTTGTTTTCTTTTATTTATTAATATTTAGTTTTAGCAGTCCGAACCTGGACACATTATTTTTGTTGCGTCCGTTCTTTATTTGTTTATATCAGTAGCGCCATCTATTACTTTACTGTGAAAATATTCAACAAAACTTGAAAAGTCATCACTCACTGTTCACCCTCCTTATAAACGCGAGCTTCAAGATTACGAATGTCGTGCCTGATGTCTGCTATGAGGAGCAGCATCAGGTCCATGGAGCCTTTGGGCCCCCTTGACCCCCGCGGGCCTCTAGGACCCGTGTCTCCTTTTGGTCCCTCCATACCCGGCGGACCGGGTGGCCCCTAGAATTGAAAAGTCCAACGAATTTTTACATAATGAAGGAATTAATATTTATGTTATGTTTAAAAAAAAGAACTACTAACCCTAGGGCCTCTTTCGCAGCGACAGTAACCGCCCTCTAGCGGCGCGGTAGAATCCAGGACCCGGTAAGTGAACGTGCCCTCCGCAAACCTGTCGCCATCTAGAAGTATTTTTCTTTTCTAATTCGAATCATAATATGTAACCAACGAATCTTATTAAATCATAATTTCATCGTCATCATATGTAATGTTATTTTTTTTTTCTCTCGAATTTCTTACCTTCTCCCTTAAGTATGGGGTTCTCTAGCAGACTTTTGAGCGCCTGTTGCGTGGCTCGCAGCTGGTCACCGAGTTGACGTACGCGGCGCGACAACAGCGTCACCGAGTCGCACGGCGCGTAGCAACGTGATGACGCCCGAACTAGCGGTAGCGGCTCCTGGGGATATTAGATTTTAGAGAATAATACAGCGATAGTTATGTCATCCTGTTATCTTTACCAGACTCGAAGGTATGGTTAAAGTAGCATTTGTCAGTGGAAATACATCGTTTGAATAGTTAAATAAATCGGTAGCTTATCTCAAGAAGCAGTAATCCAAGTAATTAAGTGGTCCTTAAGGGAATTCTTAAGGGTAATCCCTTAGGAGGGGGGTCCCTTAGGATGTTAGGGACAGCGCGTAGTTTACCCACAGGTATGGCGAGCGCGAGTCTTCGCATGCATTTCCTGCCGTCAGGTGCGAGGATGAGAGGTGGTGGGCACTCGCAGTGGAAGCTGCCTGGATCGTTCACGCATTGCTGCTCGCACCCGCCGTTGTTCTCCAAGCATTCGTCCACGTCTGAAAACATCAAATAGGACCCTGTTCACTGAATTATGAAATACTAGGATCTCATAGACTACAGTAGTGTGTTAACAGAAAGTAAGTCTGTAAGAAAGATCACCGCTCTCTTTTAAGCTGGCTAGTGAGAGAGTGAGATTGGGATGTTTTGTGGTGACATACCGACGCAGTAGGGCTGTAACTTCCTGCGATAGTTGTTCTCGTGGAAACGGAAGCCGTCATGACAGGTGCACCACACACGTCCGCCGCGAATATTGCACGCCTGTTCGCACAACTTTAAGCTGCACGGCTCCACGTTCTTTGGAATGCATCTACAATGAAACACTTGTTTTATCTTACTTATGATTGCCTAGTATATAATGTTCCCAATAGTTCGTTACCGTCCCGCGATGTGTGTGTAAGTGTCGCAGCAGTGCAGGCGGATGCACTGCGCTGGCGCGCCCTCCACCTGGCAAGTCTCGCGGGACCGCAATAGCCGCGCCGTTGGGCACACTACGCCCGCCTCCGATCTGCACCAATTTAATTAGTGTAAACATTGCTCTCCTCAATCGGGCAAAAATGAATGTCTCTCAATGACTGAGTAATTTTCTAGTACTCCTTTATAGCGAAGAAATATGTGTTATTTTGGTTACTGATACAGTGCGTAGTAAAATGTCTTTTTATTATCTTAATCATTATAGCTACAGCGATGATGACATTTTTATTTTATAGTTGGTTGGAAAACATGTCAACTATAAAAAATACAGTTCTATGAAAAGATAAAACACCCTAAAAAATTATAAAACAAACAGTGACGCTTGTTTGCGGTCAAACAAAGAGCACGCACTATGCGTTTTGTATGAAAAGGCGCGTTCTTAAAGCCACAGATCTGTATTTTTACGTACTATATCATGGTTCGTAAAACGCGCGTTAATAAACCGCACCTTCAAACCACCTAATGTGTAAATGCTTGAGTTGTTATAAAAATAGTTGGTTATTATCACGACCGCTGTAACTCCGGTGATGTCACTGGAGTGAACTCATCGCTTTTTTGCACCATGATTTATTTGTAACATTTAAAAAATTTCACACTTTTGTGCAGAATTGTACACATTCTTTTACGCAATCATATTTCGAAGGGACCCTTCAATTTCTTCTGCACACATCATATAATAGCCATATATATATATATATGACCATATATGACCACTTAAGATATCTGATAACGACGTAAGACTTTATGAACAATTAGCCCCAACATTGTGTCATGCAAAATTTTTCCTTAGCGCTGATTCGTTAAAAAAACATCGCGTTTTGACCGCAATATAAATATCTGGCTACATAGCATTTGTTCTGTTTAAAATGTTTAATCTTTTCAACATGCATTGCGCCTGTACAAAGTTATTATGAATAGTAACTTTGAGACAGTAACCAGTAACCGCACTAATCAATACAACTTTTATTTATCTATGCGTCTATCAACAATCAAGATGAATGTTTTGCGATATAATTAACAATTTAAAAGTGCTTAAAGTTAATCTTTAATTCGTGGAATCGAGTTAAAATGCAGCGTTTACTATTTATAGCGACGTATGCATGAGACGCAAGCGCAAGCGCGGGTTTTGCGTTTCATTCATCAGTCGATCATTGAACTCAACACGTACTACAAAAGCTACCTCTTTCATGTGCCCACGTAATCTTATGAAAATTTTTAAAAGCTTGCAGAACTTATATTTATCTTACTAATATTATAAATGCGAATGTTTAGATGGAAGGTATCTTTAGAAAGGTTGTTCTCGATGAAATTTGGCTTACGTATAGAACATAGTCTGGAAGAACACATACTAATTATTAATTACGTTTTTTAATTCCGCGCGGTCGGATTCGCAGGCGACAGTTAATTATTAAATAAGACAGGATGTGAAGTGGACTTATCTTCGCATTTCTTCTTAACAGTATGTGTCTATGGTAGGCAAAGTTCTAGTTCTTTTCTCCTTTCTAACATTTTCTTATAAGAAAAATATATTATCCTAGTTGAGTAGTGGTCGCTTAAAAGTTTAATATCGACCATAATTCTTAAACAAAGATTTTTTTCGTCCGATTCCTGATTAAAAATAGATTTAAGCACTTTTGAACATTAACTGTGTCAAATAACGTTAACAAAATACAAAGTTTTTACTTCACGTATCAATATGATTACTTAATAACTTAATACGTATTTCTACTTAGGTAAGGGGACATTTAAAATCAGAGGAATCTGTATGTCCGGTAGTATAAAGGGGACGTTCAACTTACATAAGTAATATGTATGAAGATGATTTGCAATATCTCAATGTGTACTTCCAAGCTCTCTAATCATAGGTCGCTTTCACATTTAATGCATCATTACTCAGCATTGTATAACTAACATTTTATAATTAACAATAATTCCTGTTCACGTAATGTCATCAATTTTTTTGTACGAATACTTCGTAATATTCTGAACTTACGCGCCTAATTTTACACCGAAAGATCCTTAAAGAAACAAATTTTTTTCTCCTTCAATGATATTTTTTTTAAATGTTTTAAAACAATAACCTTTTTATAAAACTTTTTTAAAATAATATTTTGTTTTAATTATGACGATATTCCACTGAATACTATTGTTATGTTGACCACAACGTCGAACATTTAAAGAAATTTATGAAATTATTAGTACAAAATAAAACAGATATTTAATGAAATCTCTATAAAGGAAACTATGTATATTTTTATACATCTGTCGCAAAGACATATTTAAATCATTAAAGTAATTAAAATGCAACACATAACTTCAAGTAAATAAATAAACATAACGTTAACAATTAGTCGTTTCTTATACAATATTGCCATCCCTCTCGTTCTCTTTCAACAAGATGAGATAGCGATATGTTTTATCCTGGTGTTGTTGCAATGAAAACACACGATCAAACTATGCATTGTATTCACACATATCTTAGTAACCAGCTCGTCAGACTGGATGCCACAATGGCGCTTTATATCAAGTGAACTTGAGTTAAAAGCTTTGTTAAATTTATCTTGATGTATTAAGCCCTTAATAGTTAAGTAAGCGATAAGTACTGACTGATAAAAATCTACTAAACTTTTAGTCAGTTTTAAAATTAATAAAAAAATGGAACCCACCTGAAGGCCTTCGATCAAAAAAAAATTAAAAATCGAAGCACCAAGGGCGGAGTTACGCGGTAACACACATAAAAAAATACGGACGAATTCATGACCTCCTTCTTTTTGAAGTCGATTAAAAACGTACTTTAATTTAGTTATATATGTATTTAGTTCTATTTTGTAAAAAAAAGTAGAATAAAATATATATAGAAATCTGGAATTATTAACTTATTTTATGTACCTATTCTCTTTATGTACAATTTTGATAACAATGAAGGTTTGTGTGTATTTATCTTTTATATATTCGTTAAAAATGAAAAATCCTAGATAACTTTTCATCCTAATTTATGTTATATTATTATTATTTTAAATTAATTTAGTTTAGTAATCCAGAAAGTGCTGAAAACTTTTCTTTAATTTTTTTTCATTGTTTTATTTTTAATTTCTACACATTAATTATGATGCACACATTTCATTACACGAGATTTTACAATACAAAAAAATATATATTTCCTTTGTAACTGAATAAAGTAAGAAAATAAGATAGTAATTGTAACTTTTTTATTATTTTTTTAAATTTTTCAGAGAATGTTTTAACGCTTAAATATTGGTCACTAATAAAATTATGCAAGTAATATTAATGGTGCGAAATTAAAATTACGTAAGTAGAGTAAAATATCCGCATTTTTTAAAATACACAATGTTGTATAAATTAATATTCTGGATGTAATCCAAGAAAAATGTCTTCATGTACTTTGTAAATTCGCGAACAATTTTACAACAGACTTCCGCAAACTGAAGGATCAAAGAAAAAGAATTCCTTGACTCATATTTTATTTTAAGATCTTTGTCTAAGTAAAACTTAGCAACCGCGAGAAATATTGACTAGGAGTAAATATTCTTTGATCGATAACTTTTTATTCATCACATAAATGATCACTGAACTAGGGTGATGGGTGATCACTCACACATCGATAGCGTCCTCGTGAGTGTAGCCGTCGTCAGCGTGGTAGCCGTTCTCAGCGTGGTATCCTCTGTCGTCCTGGTGGCAGAGTACCAGGGCGGCAGCGCACAACAGGAGCGCGGCGCAGGCCGCGTGCTCGACCGGCGCGCGCATCGCGACTGCGGTTCTGCGCCCGCGCGGATATGCGTTTCGATAGTGATATTCAAACTTTATTGTTTTTAACTTTTTTTTATTTTACTGAAAATAATTTCAACTGACAATTTTTGCTTAATGTTAATATATTCTGTTAAAATTCATTACCCATTTTTTGTCTTAATGATGTACCTAAGTATATATTGTACTTGTGTTTGATTAATGAAAGAACTGACTGAGTACAAAAAAGTAAAAAAAAACTATTTTAAATTAGACTCGTCTTTAAAAGTGCAGTATTAAATTACATTTAGCGATTCACTGATTAATCCTGAGCTAATAGAGTGCGCAGACGCACCGCGACCCATTTAGCGTAAGACGATGCTTTGATAAGCAATACAGAGGACTATTCATCAATTAACTGCAAGCATTATTAGCAAATTATATTCCCTCTACATTTACAACTGACAAATATAAAGCTTTTCTATTAACGATCTCTAACTCATTAATTAGTTTTTACAGATAATTTGACTAACGTTAAAACTCCAATTGTGTTCATCTGTTACTCTTTGAACAAAGACTTTTACCTACTTATACTTCTTTGAAAATCAACAAATACTTTTGTCCAAGTACACAACGTAATTACGGTGTCTATTTATCGTAATAAAAAATCTTTAATAAGTTTGACAGGCACTGTCCGGCTAGAGTTCTCGAAATAGACTCGATGCGTGGCGTTACAGTAGGCAAGAGTCGTTGCTGATTCCATGGACGATCGTGCGTGTTACGTTTCGGGTGACCATACTATTTGCTAAAAGATCTAATTATTTAAATCTATGAAATTAATAAAAAAATCTCAATGTTCCCTTTCTCTCTTGTGTGTCATATTTTGGCTTAATTGTACAGAGGCACTTACAACCAGTTTCTAAAAGATATGTCAAATTGTTCGTTTACTTCTTAATACTGGTCTCCTTGACAAATAATTCCCTTGGTACACAAAACAAAATAAATTTTAAACTGTTTGTCAAAATCATCGTGACGTCACTGCGATTTACAAGATGGCGGAGCAAATTTAAAACAGTTGAATTTTTGAAAATTATTATATTAGATATGGAATGTTAAATAGTTTAGTTTTAAGTTCAGCTAATATTATTTATTGCGGAATAGTGTAGTTAATTAACTAAACAAATAGGGATATTCATTATTATAACTTGCATTTTTAATTATTACAAAATTATTTTAGAAAGTACTGAAAGTTTGAGAAGCAGTGTTCCTTCGATAGTGTTATCTGCTGACCGAAATTATGCACTCCGTTGTGATACATTGTTTTTATGAATGTTTCATTATGCAATTAATTTATCCGACTACTATGATCCAGGACTTCCGGGGGAGTGCAATTAAGACGCAAAATACTTGGTTATAGGACAAGAAAAATATTCAAACTTATAAATTAAAAACCTAAAATACTGTAATACGTACCAGACGCCATTTTGTGGAATTTCTCGCTTCTTCAAAATACTATATTACTCAAGGATACTGTAGCATTCTAATGGATTTTTTTAAAACTGATATATAAACACGGCTAAACACTCTCGTATATTCGTCCGGTGGCTGTACCGACTAGTTTCGAGCCCATCGGGGGTCCTTCATCAGGATGAGTGGTACTGGTATTATTTTGCGGACGCGGCCCGTCGCTCACTCTGAGTGAGAACCACCGGATGAATATACGTGAGTGTTTAGCCGTGTTTATATATTAGTTTAGTATAATGTCTCACGAAAGTTTGAATGATTTTTTTTTATTTTAAATCGATCTTATAGTTTTGAGATTATAAATCTGATTAACTAAGATTCCTGGTCTCAATGCAAGTGAGGCCACACTAGACGTAATCCGGAGATATATGGTTTGTTTACACTGGCGCAGCTCAGGGCCAGATCCCGGCGCGGCCCACTGCCACACTGCCGGTTGTGCAATATGTACACTAACCTTTACACATTTATTTTTAATCTTCTATTATCTGTAACATAAACAATACTGGCTGATTGCGAATTCTTTTACGGTGAGTTTCAACCGAAAAAAATAAAAACAAAATTCGTAATCCACATTATTGTAAAAAAATATGTTTTTTTTTACAAATATCAGGCAGTGGAAGAAAATAAATGGTTAAATTCAATTGAACATTCTTATTCAGGTTTTTTTCTCGTTATAAAAGTTTTTAACCGTATTATATTACTTAGGGTAGGCTCTGAGCTCCTCAGTGGGGACGTATAGTGAGCTGATGATGATATGTGATATTGAGTTTTAAAATGTAGAAGGAAAGTTGTTTGTTTCAATAACTACAGTTTTCTATTTCAACGTGTCCGAAATTCTATTTGTATCAAAATGTTTGCATAATTAAAAAGTTTTCCTTAATAATCTTCTTACAACTGTTATAGCGAACGTTTGGATGTACAGATGATGAATCGATGGATGTTTTTTCAGATATCTCCAGAACGGTTGTATAGATCGCGGTAAAATTTGGCACAGATGTAGAACATAACCTGGAAGAACACATAGGCTGGTAAATAAGTTTTTTTAATTCCGCGCAGACGGAGTCATGGGCGACAAGTAGGTTATTTATATATCCTGTAACCAATCCAACTAAGGTCTAGGTATATCACAGCAATGGACACGGGGGAGTCCATCACCGGCGACTGAGGGCTGCCTCCCTCCGAGAGGGAGCTGCCTCGGCAGCTGGCGCGGTAGGGGCCGCGGACGAGAGCGAAAGCGTGCCCTTCCGATGCATTGGAGGAACAGAGAGTTTTTGTGGGTATGCCTCCGCTATGGAGGAGAATCCCACATAACTACCGCATCCCCCCGGGGCGCGGAATATGCATAAAGCATTCCTCTCTGAAAAAAAAAGAAAAAAGGTATATCACAGCAAAAGTCGAATGTGATTTGAACTTATGACCACATGATAGAATGTCCGTACCCTTAACCAGTGAGCTATTGTTGGTTTAAATATATTTTCATATTTATTATGTCGGAATAAATCTTTGCTTAACAAATGACATAGTTACATAAATATTTATTAATCTTATTATAGTAGGCGACAGACTACTTCAGGAATAATGAATTATAAATAAGTACTTGAATTAGAAAAATTGGATAGAAAAAAAGAATTTATAACGTTTAAAAAACTGTTTAAATGTCACTTAAGACAGTAGTTATTTATCTAAGGACATTTTATCCATTAAACTGTAAAATACCAAAGATTGTTTTATTATTGAACGAATTAACTTCCATTGAAAAAAGTCCCCAACATTTTACTTTCATTTGAACGCGTCTCTCGTCCGGGCTACATCGCGTCGTCCGGTGAACGCTTTTCTCGAAAAAAAATTTTTTTTTGCTTTAATTAAAAAAAATCAAATGTCTTTTGTAATAGAAATTCTTTTATTTATTTTATTAATCTATGGTTTGGTAATTTCTGTAAAGTCAAATTACGACTCATGGGTACCAGGAGAACATAGTTATCATAGTTTACACAATGGCCTTGAGACCTCAAAGGATCTCATCGATGAGTGGACTGTGGAAGTTGATGGCGGTGACCAGGTCGCGCAGCTGATCGCTTTGCAGCTTGGTTACGAGTTTGCAGGACCGGTGAGTCGATTATGATTCCTTAATGCTTAATTTTAAAACATTTTTTTTTATAAAATGTTTTAAATTTTTTACTCTAGGAAATAAATAACTTTTTTCTAGCTTTTAACGGAACCTAAAACAAACTATACATTTGAACTATTTATAGACACTCTTGTTGGATTTTAGACAGTTTGATTTTTGGACGGATCTCGACCGTGTTTTTATTTGAATATAACGATTTTAATTTAAGAAAAAAATATTTAAAAAGTACATAATTAAAAAGATAAGAAATTGATTTTAAATTATTTATAACTTGCTTATGTTCAAATAATTAACATGAGAAATAATAATTAATATTCGTCAAATAACAATTAAGAAAAATCTAATTATAATTGGTTTACGAAACGTGCCCAAAGACGTCGACTGGGACTGACCGAATTAGTCCTTTAAGCCCCAAGATGTATCAAAAGCCTATTTCTATATTTTCTTAATCAATTCAGTAACTGTTGTTAATTAAATTACCTTTTTCTGTGCGTCCCCTCCTCTGTCGATTGAAGGTAGGACGCTTCTGCTACTGCTGATGTCTATGGGCAGCGGTCGCTTCGCTATTTTGGCGAATTTATGTGACTTTTAATTGACTGCTTAACCTTATGACATAAAACAAAGAAAATTACTAATAAAATTACCTCAAAATCGATATAATAACGATGCATCTCACTCGTCAAAATCGATTTAACAATTTGCGCTACAAGATGTCACAAGTAATTGACTAGGAAAACATAATATCCCAAGGTCAGTAGGACAAAAGTAGTGACGAGAGATTGTAGGCAAACGATTTTATGAGTTGTCCAGACAAGCTCCTACTCTCCGGGGTTCACGGATGATGTGGTGGGGTTGTACGATGGAGGTAAGAAAGTTGAGGTTTACAAGTTGTGAAGGAAAGTTTGTGTATCCCTCTTCTAGAGGCAACCGGAAGGAAAGGTTTGTACATAACTTTCATAAGCTTAAAAAAAGAAAAGGAAATTAGTTCGCGAATTATAAATTGTAAAACAATTTAAAATTGATACTTTACATCGAACAATTTTACCAGGAAAATGTCAAGATGGATCTTGCTTTTAATTAAAAATAAAACGAGTTTAAAATGTATTCATCGTTTCATTTATTTAAATTTATTTCGTATAATTTTTGGTAGATCTCCTTTGAAGGAATAAAATAGGGAAATTTTCTTGTCTATCTAATTCCTACGACTTCGTCCGCGTACAATTAAAAAAAAATCTAACAATAATGTGCCTATGTCACTTGAGAATGTCTATTTTTCCAACAGTGAAAGAAATTTAAATCGGTACCGTAGTTTCGGCGTCTATTCAATGCAGGAAAACAAAAAGACAGTCCTGTCTTTCCCTTTTTATAA